CTGTAACCCAAATGGCGTTATTCTGGAATGGCTGCAAAGGCTATGAATGTGTTTTTCAGGAGCACATGGCGCTCATTGCCCTGATGAGATTATCCATACCAAATCACCTTCCCAGATAGTTTACTCAGTCACAACTTACATGTAAGAAGATCTGGCGGTGTTTATTCGTCATAAGATCTGTAGGATATGCAGTTACGACAGGTAAAAGAACAATTCTTCCATACAGGATAGCAGAGAAACAAGTCACATATGAATGTACAGCATAGAAAAAAATAGAACAGAAAAAAGGGGGAGCGGAGTACCTGGAGCAGCATGCAAACTATGGAGAGGCCCAAGGGACAAACTTAAGATGAATATTAAAGAAACAGTACATTATAATAAAACAATATCATGTAACATGACACTCCCCGCCTGAAATCTTTAGATTTCAAAGCCTATATATATGTATATAAAGATAAGTCCAAATGTCTAAAAGTCCAACTTGAACCTGTAAGCGAAGAAAACATTGGAAAATAATACTGGTGTGTAGACCATAAATACGAGATACCTGCAAAACAAAGAAGGTATGCAGTAAATGAACAATAAAACATGAAGTCCAATAACAGATGGCTAAAGTCCTGTAGTCTACAGTGGCAAGTTAACAGTTATAGCGGCATTCTCCCCGCCATAGCACCGTACCACCTGGTACTCTTGCATAAGTCACTCATAGCACCGTACCACCTGGTACCAATTCTTTGATTGGTCATGAGAAAGTCTGTGTGGAACCTCCTTTGGGTATCTTAATCTCAACCTTCTGAACTTTTAAATCATCGCTGGGCATTACGCTTGTTACGAGACCCATAGGCCACTCATTGCGACAGACTTCTCTATCTTGCAGAAGAACAAGGTCGCCCACTTTGAGGTTGGGCTTGGATGTTTGCCATTTGTAATGGCTTTGAAGGATATGCAGGTACTCCTTTCTCCAGCGGTGCCAAAACACGTTGGATAGGTGTTGCACCTGTTTCCATTGATGCCTGTAGATATCCTTCGGGTCGATCTCAGCAGGAGATATCAAGGTAGTCCCAACCTTTTGAGTAACGTAGGTGAAGGGTGGATCTGTGCTTAAACGATCAGCTGGCAGGCTTGCCATTTGTTGTAGTTGGTGTCTACCTCTTAACTTGCGACACTTGACGCATTTGAAAGGCAGGGAAGAAACACATCTTTTCATTACAACAATCCACAAGCCGGCTGACCTGATAGCGCCTTCTGTAAATTGTCTACCTTGGTGTTTTATTAGTTCATGATGCCGGATTAGAAGAGTAGCGATGTGGTGCTGACCTGGTATGATGATAGGGTTTTGTTCCTTGCTGCACAGGTCAAATTTCTCTATTCGACCTCCAACTCGCAGCAACTGATTGTCATTGACCACAGGGTTTAGATTAAATAGTGAACTATCCTTTGATAAAGTTATTCCACCTTTGAATCTGTGGAATTCTTCCATGTACACTTCTTGTTGTACACAGCGAATGATAACCTTTTCGGCACGCTCAATTTCCGTTGCGGTAGGATGGTTGGTACAGATATGCCAACCATGACACTCTGATGTTGAGCTCCTTTTAAAACAATGGGCAACGTGAATCAAATAAGCAACAGCCCTAACAGCTGATGACCAGGTTGAGAAACATTCAAAACGATGTGACTTGAGTTTTGGTTCTGGACTCGTAGAGGTATGCAGTGTGATGTTGATAGACCTGATTTCTTTATGATCATCAGGATGTACCAGTTCGTAGGTAACGTCGGTGGAAATTGAGTATGAGTTTTCATGAAGAAATCTTGGAGGCGACAGCCACAAGCAGCCATGGAGAGCTGCTGGGGATATAGCTCTTGTCCCATAATCAGCAGGATTAAGGTCAGCGGGAATATAATGCCTTTGCTTTGGCAGAGAGAACCTTTTAATGGCTTGATGTACATTGTTCGGTAGCTTTGGGAGGCGAAAGGGTAGGGGTGCCACCCAATTATTGGAATCTTCCTGAAAGAACTCGTTGTCCATTACTTTAAGGAATTCTTTGCCTTCTACTGAAGGAGCTAACATGTTGTCTTCACTGCTTGTATTGAAAACTGTAAAACCAAACCTGTCATCGTATGTGTGGAAAAGGTTTGTGTTGCCATGTTGCAACTTGCGGCTAGTTACCTTCTCCTTTACCCAGTAGTGATGTGGGCATGGCTCAAAGTGAGTATTACGACCATTCGGCAATACATTTGTCTTGAATGAAGAAATGTTAGTTGGCCCTTTCATTTTGCCTATACAGACATTACCTATGATGACCTAGCCTAAGTCCAGGTACCTGGCAAATGGAGCATCTGAGGTCCGCTGACCTGCCTGTGCACCTTGTGGACCCTTAGAATATCTCTTCCCAGCAGAAGAAGGATTTTAGCATCTTTGACAAGTGGTGGGATTTCACTTGCTATTGACTTTAGGTGAGGGTGGTAGAAGGCAACTTCTCTTGTAGGTATTTCTTCTTTGTTGGCTGGTATCTGGTTGCACTCTACAAGTGTAGGTAAGGGTAATTGTAAGTTATCTCCTAGGGAGGACACAATACGTCCATGGGCCCTTCTTCCAAAGGCCTCTGTAGTGCCACTACAAGTGCTTAGGGTGTAAGGGTGAACCTCTCCTCTTATGCAAAATAGATCAAACAGTTCGGATCAGGCAAGTGATCGATTGCTTTGATCATCTAAGATAGAATACACCTTTAAAGTATTTTCTGGCTGATCCTTGTGGTGAACGTTTACTAGGCATATTTTAGCACAAGACTTGTCACAGTGGTCTTCCCCACAGACTTCAGTGCATGAGGAAAATATCATGATGGAATTAGGCACCTGATCTGTACTCTTCCCGTCGTGACTTGGCCTGGGAGAAAGGTTTGCAGATTGTGAAGGGTTGGCTTCGAGTGGTTGGAGAGCTTGTACATGGTCCTCGGAACCACACTCTATGCACTTGATAGGGGTTTTACATTCCTTGGCAAAGTGATTAGTGGAAGCACAGCACCTATAACATACCCCAAAGGTCTTTAGGAGTTCCTTTCGTTCTTGTAGGGGCTTCTTCCTAAAGCCGATACATTTTTTGAGGGGATGTGGCTTCTTGTGGATAGGACATGATCGGTTTGGGTTTTCGATCTTGCCGCTCTTGTTTGAGGCGGGAGCAGGAATAATGTCTGTCTTCTTAACAGACACGGGACCTCTACGGTTCCTGTAGCTGATATGTAGGTTGTCACCTTTCAGTGAGGGAGTACTGAACTCACCAAATGCAAAGCTAGGATCGTTCTTGGTGTCAGCAATGTTCCTGACAAATTCGCAGAAGTAGGAGAAAGGGGGAAATGAAACCTTGTTTTCCTGTTTATATTTTGACCCAATTTGGATCCACTTTTCTCGTAGGCCATACGGAAGCTTGTAAATGATAGGGTTAACTCCTCAAGCAGTGTCCAGGTAACTGAGGCCCGGTAGTTTAGGGTTGGTTTTGGCAAGTTGGACTTCGAGAAGAAGGTCACTGAGTCTCTGGAACTCTTTATTGTCCTTACCGGATATCGTTGGGAAATTTTCCAATCGTTTGAGCAATGCATTCTCTATGGCTTCAGGACTACCATAACTCTGTTCTAGACGTTCCCATGCAGCAGTGAGACCTGCAGTTGGATTGTCGATGTAGACTGACCTGAGGCTCTTGACACGTTCTGTAGATTGTGGGCCAAGTCACCTGATCAGCAGATCCAGCTCCTCAGCAGCAGTAATAGCAAGATCACCTATAATAGTTTTGAAGGCAGCTTTCCAGGTTCTGTAATTTTCAGGATGGTCATCGAAGCTTACTAGGCCTGACTTGGTGAGCTCTCGTTGAAGTATATACTTTACGAACTCTGCCTCTGACTTTATGTAGGCGGTTGCTGGTTGAATGTTGCGGTTTGCGTTGTTTATGGTATTGTTGTAAAAGGACATGGGAAGATATGGTGCAGCAAGGGCGTTCAGCTGAGTTGTTGGGTTAAAGTCTGGAACTGTACTATTAGCAGGAGGTTGGTGACTTGCTTGCTGACTGGTGTGCCATTCTGTGACATATGCAGAATCAGCATGACAGTCGGGCGATGCACTGGGGTGGTTTTGCATGTAGGAAGTTGCTGGAACAGCTTTTGCCTGGTGGTGTGGTGAAGTCCTTGCGTTGTCGTGAAGAATGGAGGCAATTGAGTGCTCGCTGCTGTGGTTTAGAACAAAGTTCTTAGTGCGTTCGAATGGATCTTCCATATCTGCCTTGATGCTGACCTTTCACTAGCATTTTGCTCTGCACCGATAGCTTGTTCCAAAATCTTTAGTTTTGCTGCAGCTGCCTCATAGTTGCTCTGTTCCTTTAAAGCTTCAGTTGCTGCCTTTTGACGTGCTGTCTGAGCTTCCATTGCTGCCGCTTCAGCTTGCATTGCTGCAGCCTCAGCCTCCATGTCTGCTCTCTTTTTAGCATATGCAGCCTGTACTTTGCTAGCCTCGGCTTCGGCGCAGGCATTTATAAGCTGTTCACTAGGCGTTGAGTGCCTTGAACTTCGGGGTCTAGAGGAACTTTTAGAATGTCTGGTGGATACGGATCTGTGAGATACAGTGTCCTGTGGCTGCGTTAATTTTGCTTCTGCCTTTGCTTTAGCTAGCAGGATAAAGCTTTCTCTTTCCACGTTAAGAAGCTGGACGTTGTTAAGTTGCTCTAATGATTCCTCAGTGTTAATGTTTTGCAGAATAGTTATATATTTATTGCTTGTAGTCTGGTACAGTTCATATGAAGCAGAGAGATGTTTTATGGCGCCCTCTAGTTGCAGTACCTCATGGCTGGGACATGAAATCACATCAATGTAGGTGAGGATTTTATCCCAAATCTGCTTCAAACTGGTTGCTAGTTCAGTTTTCATGGATTCATAGTTCTCTTTAACCTTCCATGTGGGTTTCACAGAGCGTTTAGCTAATGCACTGGGCTCTGGGTCCTCATCCTGGCTTTCTCCATGTGGTGCATGCTGTGGTGTTTCACATACTGAGCCCTTTCCACTCATGATGGCCTGAGGTCCACAGGCCTGGCTGTAGCAGTGAAGTGTGTCTGTATACTGTGTGGGGCTGTAACAAGCTGTGCTGGGGTTGAATGCAGACTTCTCATACAATACACACAGTTACACTTCACTCATCCTGGCTTTCTCCATGTGGTGCATGCTGTGGTGTTTCACATACTGAGCCTTTTCCACTCATGATGACCTGAGGTCCACAGGCTTGGCTGTAGCAGTGAAGAGTGTCTGTATACTGTGTGGGGCTGTAACAAGCTGTGCTGGGGGTGTATGCAGGGCCGTCTTTAACGCGGGGCAAACGGGGCAGCTGCCCCGGGCCCAGTTTCTCTTGGGGGGCCCGAGGCACCTGCCCCGTGGGCCCCGCTGACCCCGGCGGGCGGCCGGCCGGTCGGGCAGGAAGGCGGGCGCGCGAGGGAGCACTCAGTGCTTCCTCTTCAGCTCCCTCGCGCACCGCACTGATGCCGGAGCCGGAAGATGACGTCATCTTCCGGCGCCGGCATCCCTACGCGGCGCGCGAGGGAGCTGAAGAGGAAGCAGTGAGTGCTCCCTCGCGCGCCCGCCTTCCTGCCCGACCGGCCACCCGCCCAGGAGCCCCACTGGACCCCAGGGAATCCCCCCAGCACTCCAAAAGGTAAGGAGGCTGGGGGGATTACATTTAAAAAAAAAATGTGTGTTTGTGTGTGTATTAGTGTTTGTGTGTTAGTGTATGTATGTGTTTGTGTGTTAGTGTATGTATGTGTGTTAGTGTATGTATGTGTGTTAG